AGTTGTAAACTGCCAACATGGTTTAAAAACAGAATCTGGCCTGTTGCCAAATGTAACAACTGTAAAAGAATAAAAATGTTGGGACACAAACTGCCCTGAGCAGACGGTAGCTGGACACCCCGTGACCTGCTGAAGTGTCCCTGAGCAAGACGCCTTCTCCTGCAGGTTGTGACCCCTGACCTCCCCGAGGGATCAACATGCTTTCCTGATACCAAACATGTCACTGTGCTGTTCAGCCAAAGAAACAGACTTCTGTTCACTCTTTCAGGTTAATGTATATTATTTCAGTGTAGTCCCAGGTCCTGTCCCGAGAGATCCCTCCACAGCCAGCCTTCCCTGCAGCGTCATCCAGTAGGGAGTCACTCACGTCTACAGCATGAAAGGTGCTCTTTCAGAGCTTGTTGTAGGATTAGCCTACAAGCTACCTGCAGATGTTTTTTTTTTACATTGTGCCTCAGTGCTGCTGCCCAGCGGAGTCATCAGCCAAGCACTTAATGGCCTATCTACTCAGAGGCAATGGAGGCTAAAGAAGCATTTCTCTTTCCTCCTTTCAACAGCTCAAAAATACAAATTTTGACATGATTTGACAGAAATAGAACCCAAAGAGGAACTTGATTACATTTGGACTTTATTACATTCAGAACAAAAAATATATTCAATACACTTTGCTTTTACTGTTTACTGTCTCTCCACAGTCACTGGAGAGGGAAAGCATCCATGTAAAGTACAAACTGAGACAGAGGAAATAAATGGAGTGAGCTGGAGCAGTGTGCGATGTGGAGCTGAGCCCCATTTCATTTCCAGTTCCCTTTGAGTTTGTGCCACTTTTTTCATTTCAATTATTTTACGTTAAACAGAGCACACACATGTTCCATATTAACGTCCATTTGTAAATTGTTCTGCTTGGACACAAACAGTTCTGTGCCCATACATTACGCAGCAGGTAAAGTCAGCCTTAAACTGTTGCTTTTTGTCTTAAGGAGGTTGAACTGTGAGCCTGGAATCACTTAAACTGTGAAATGATCTCCATTGTAGTTTAGAACAAAACACTGAACTTGGAAAAAGCAGCAGATTAACTGGAAGGTCCTCTTGTCATGAGTTTCCTAGATTTTAAAAGAAAAGCATTTTGATTATTCAGCTTAACATACAGTAAGTGATTTTCAAGTTTCCACCATGTGCACACACAAACACACAAACCTTTTACACTTCATCCTGTCTGTTCTCCCTGGTGTGTGTGGCCTTCTCTTCTCCTGCGGGAGGGAAAATGAATAATTAATCGGCCTAAAGTAGAAGGAAATTATACAACATTATGCCATAGTGTGTCCACTCTAATGGCATGTGGATGCGAGATTTATGGTTCACATTTGTTTCCAGCAGAAAGCAGGAGCTGCGGCCGGCAGTACGGTAAGTCTCCCAAACAAGCTGTCCACTGCGGGGCAAACATCAGACGTGTGTGGGAAATAGGGATTCCACCGGGGACGCACTCATGTAACAAACATACACACAAGTCTGACAGGAGTCTTTTACTCCACTGTGGTCAGAACAAGACATTAGTCTTGTCTTACCCTGATTTTCATTTAACATTTCAAACTTTTTAGTGTGTCGCTTATTGTATATGGTGTGTATTCATTGGTTTTTGGATTCGATTGACTTTTCATGAGTATGCTATGAGTAAAACATTCAGTTTTAAACATGTTTGTTATGACCGCACCATTAAATAATATCAAAAAATTGTCTGACATAATATTTGACTATTTTACATATTTTGTATATTTGGGAACTAGAATTTAAATATGTTTAAAAAAATTTACATATTGAAATTTGTCTTCAAGACACAGCAGGAAAAGGAGATGGTTAAAATAGACTTGGATTTTGAGAGTTCTCTTTAGATGACCCAACAGGTCCAATAGTATTTACACAGTCATAGGAACATTTATTCTCCTCAGTCTCTAAAATAAGTGTTGCCACAGCAGACGACACTCTTAGGGCCCAGTTTTGTTTACCTCACAATACAAACAAACAAACAAACAAATCCCATTTGTACAACATGTTTCAGGCAATGTAACACAAGGACTCAGTCAATATTAGGACTATAGGGCTGTGAACTTATCATAATACTCAGTTGAGGTGTATAAAAACTGAGCTGAAGAGTGAACAAATGAGTGAGATGAGACAAACGAAGCTACATGTATTTATTAGTTTTTCCAATATGGTTTTATGTGGTACAGAAGCAGATGGAAATTCCGGAAAACAAACAAAGTGTCACAACTTTGCAGAAGGGCCTTTCATCCTTCTGGTATTTTCAATGTCCTGTTCCAACATCAAGAACTGAATCTTTACTTTTATAAGGACTTAGTTTAAGACAGGAAACCAAAAACATTTCATCAGATAAAGACTTCATTTAGAACTTGTCCAAAAAGGAGTCAAACAGCCTTAAGTCCATCGAGCTGGACTGAAACAAGGGTCAGGGTTGTTCCTTCTGGAACACATCTGATATTCTCCACAAATAGCCATAGACTCTTGGGCTGTGTCAGGGGCTCCTGCTTCAACGTGTCAGAAAGATGTTCAGCGAAGCAGCAGCAGTGGTCAGGCTGTTTTCGCTTTTGGTGTCTGCTCAGGTTTGCTCTCTGTTCCTCTTCATTTCTTGTGAAGTGGCAGATCTGCTCAGTCATGAATGAGTTCATTACAGTGAGAATCAAGGTAGAGAAGAGGGGAGGAAGTGACTGAGTGATTACATGCATCCCACCTTCCTCTCCTGTTCTCCACGATTAAGATGCATCTGCTGCGTCTGCTTGTGGTCCCGGCTGCTTTGTGCATTTATCAACATCAGTTTAATGAAGTGATCAGAGGCAGAGATCAGACACAGCCCAGAAATATTACTCCATTAGCCTTTGCAAGCTTTCTGCAAAACAGGAGACACTGACCAGAGGCATCAGGCTTGTTTCCCCCACATTTCCCAAAAAACACTGAAGATGAAGTAGAAGTGATTACCCGTCTAGGGTCTCCTAACACAAACCTTCTCTTCTGAATAAAAGGACAATCTTTCACTGCTGCACTTCAAGGAGGAGAAACATAGTACACCAGCACCAGCACCACCGAGCGCCCCGCCTCCTTCTCATGGTGATGATGTTAATAAACTGTCAGCGTGTGGCACTTTGTAATTGGGTTTGTGCCTTGTTTAACAAAGAGCGATTGGATAGTTAGGAGGGAGAGTAGCAATCAATCTGCCTCTCTCGTGAAATGAGCTGAGTGTCTCATCTATGAATGTGTTATCCCACAGGAGCCGCGTTTGAGATGTGTCTGTTATCCCTGGTAAATAAATCGAGGTGCTGAGAAACAACTCCCACCCCCGAGTCCTGACATCATAAAGTCTCTGTAATGTGTTCATAAACATGACATGCTGCACACAGTAACTGTTTGCACCGCTTGGTTCAGAACAAATGAGCCCTCGGCGCTTATTTATGACATCTTGTGATTTAGAGGCAACACTAAACCTCCAGATGACAAACAGGAACTCCAGGTAGGGTGTGGATATAACATGTTCAGGACACAGTGGCCCACAGCTGGCAGGTCCCTCACACAGAGGACGCTGCTGCCCACAGGCCTGAGATGTCCCTCCTCTGATTTTAGTTTGGGACCCTCCAACAGAGGGGAGATGCTGAGATATTTCAGTACAAAATTTTAGGGAATCTACTAGTCGAGATTCCAGTCTGGGTCAAAGTTGGGCCCAGCAGACCGACACTCAGAGCCATGCTGCTGACATGGCTAAAAACCTCACCAGTTCGACTTCTTGTTGGTCATTCATTTACCTTTCTAAGCAACTAATAGAACGGTTTATGGACAAAAACATTACTGTCTTAATAATATTGTCTGTGGTCCAGTGGGTAGAGTGGTCAACTCCCAACCGGAGGGTTGGAGGTTTGAATCTCGGTGCCTGCAGTCCACATGTCGAAGTGTCCTTGGGCAACCACTGAACCCCCAAGTTGGCGCCACAGATGGCTGCCTCGGTTCTGTACCAGAAACAAATTCCTTGTGTGTAACATACTCGGCCAAATAAAAGTGATTATCCTTCAATAGAGAGTGAAGTAATTCCTGTTGACACAGGTTGTTGTGCTAGAATGCAGCACAGCCAGAGTGTACAGTACTGCTGAGGTTGGACCTTTTGGTTACATTCAGTTCCCTTTGTTTTGCAGGAAATAACACATTTTAAAGACGTTGCAATACTCATTTTACTGGGTGTGTCTAGTTCAGTTCAGTTTCAACTTCCACCTGTCAGGAAATTGTATCAACCAATGTTTGATGCACAGGGACACACAAAGCTGTAATATTCTGGAAGTGTGTGTTAGGTGGCTGCACAGTGGTGGTTAGCGCTGTTGAGTCATGAGAAGGTTCTGGGTTCAAGCCTGGGTTCAATCTGGTGCTGTTCTGTGCAGAGTCTGCATGTTCTGCCTGTGTCTGTGTGGGTTCTCTCTGGGTTCTCCGGCTTCCTCCCACAGTCCAAAGACATGCAGCTTAGGTTGACTGGCCCGTAGGAGTGTGTGTGGTTGTTTGTCTACATGTCAGCCCTGTGACAGACTGGAGACCTGTCCAGGGTGGACCCCGCCTCTCACCTGGTGTCAGCTGGGGTTGGCTCCAGGCCCCCGTGACCCTATTCAGGAATAGGCAATAGAAATAATGGATGGATGTCTGTTAGGTCCTCTAGCTTACTTATAATACCTTTTTTGTACAGATATACACAGAGGTGTACATGTAGGTGTAATCCCTGCACAATCTCTAGCTGCACTCTTTGCAGCTGGAGATTCACAGGTTCATGCTCATTACAGCACACAATGAGTTTGCATAAACAGCTTTTTTTATTTGATAAAAACAAATTTGATGCTTAGGTGACAAAGACAAGACACCTGTATAACCAGGTAGACTGCTATTTAGGCAAAAATGTTTTCAAGAGGCCAAAAGGGGGCCAATGAAGCAGCATCATAGGAATAAAAACATTTATATGCTGCTACTCACACTGAGAACGATGGCACATTATTCGGCTAAACTTTAATTTGTTTTCTTTTATAACGAGTTATTTTTACCTCAACATGAGCAAAGAAATTCTTGCAAAGTACCTTCAACACTTTACAACCAGGCCTTTTAGCTCTTACTACTATGTCATCCAATAACCTGATGCAACTGCTGAGCAGTTAGTTTAGAGTCCATGTGAACGTAACAGTCAAACCCCCCTCTGGCCACTTCCTGCTGTGACAAAGCCGTCAGCCACAGGATTCTACCTCACCCCCTGCCACCACCAGTGCCAGTGGAGACAGAACCTGGTGAGAGGTGATGAGAGATGGTTGGCAGCAGGTGACAGCAGAGAGTTTCCCCCACAGGTGACACCTCAGCCCTGAATTCTGATGCCTCCTTATCACTGCTGACATGCACAAACTGCTGACGGTTCTCCTTCACCTGAATCTGCAGTTTTTTAGCATTTATACTCTGACCCAGTTCCTCCAAGAATACTATACACTCTGTGGGCGTCATCAGGGAATAAAACACTCTTGCGTTTTGCACACAAGTTAGGTGCAATAGCAGCAGCGTGTTGCCTTATGGATGAGGTGTAACCGAGCTGCCATCATGGCCGGTGTCAGGCCAGGATCAGCTGGCAGAGAAGAGGATGAAGAGGAGGACGAGGAGGGGTTTGACAGCTGTCAGTGATCGTTTCCTGTACAGAACATGGGTGACAGCCAGCAGAGCCAACCGGTCTGCAGTGCTGACAGCCGGCAGCTTCTAGAAGGAAAAGAAGGATACAGATATTCTGCTGCCAAACTCGACGAGGCCTCGACATCCTCGCTGCTGACACTCCTCTGTGGATAGATGGAGCTGGTTTCTGGCTGTGAGGACAGAATGAACACTTAAAGTTCAGCATACTAGTACCTCACAGGTTCATTAATTATTTATTATCCTAGTTAGTAATGAGGGCTGACATGCAGTAAGCACAGTTATGCCATGTCCCACTTCAGTACTACATACAAACAATACCAGAGCTGTAGACTCAAGCTCAGCCTGACACATGAGGACTTGAGACTTGGCTCTAGTGAGACTGACACCAAAAATGTTCAAGTCTTGGGTTTTGACCAGGTGAGGCCTTGGACCTCTCAAATAACTTGGGATTTGTCAGTTGACCTCAGACTTGATCCTTGATGAGCGACTCAGGACTTGGACTGGACAACTGATGTCTTTTTTACAAATGGTTTCATTTCCCAGTGATGACCACCAGAAATTAATTTTAGTTTTCCAGCCATGAGCAGCGTCTCCGTCTCATTAGTGCAGTGCATTCTAGGACTGTAGTGTCCATCAGAATCAAACGGGTTTAATCTGACATCTTTGACTAAACATATTCTGCTACTGCAGATTTAAAACTCTTATGAATTGACATGTAGTCTGGCACTGGGCCTCAGCTTTAGTATTTGGGTAAGGACTCACCAGGTGTAGTGATAGACAGGTGGGTTTGCTCTCATACATGTTTCAGAGCTCAGTCTGTCACTCAAAGATAAAGCTGGCGGGCTGCTGATGTCACCAGCATCTCTGTCTTTGACTTCCTGCTCCTCCTCATCCTTCTCCATCAGAGGATGAGGAGCTGAAAGAAATGAATCAGATCTTTGTTTTGTCATCTTTCCAGTCTGGCACGGCGCTCCAGACAGCGAGCCCTAACTCTCCCAGGGCCGTACCACCTGCAGCAATAACAGCAAGAAACTAACTTATTAAAAGTCTCGGCCATTACTCAGCCACTCTGATAAACAAAATATATCTACAGGAAACACCAAGGGCACCGTCAAATAACCAAATGGAAACCAATATCTGCAGATGGATGACAGAGGTTTAACTTTGCTTTAGTTTTGCTAAAAGACAGACTGGCAATTCAAATGACCTGTGTTGGATTTTACTGGATTGGGAAGCTGCTTAAATGTTCATTTACCAAAATGATGCTAGTGTGTTTGTGGTGGTTATTAGAGACTGCCAATAATACACAACATCTAACCAGCAGGTTCTCTGTGAGGCACAGTGCTCACTGTAAAGGAGCTCAGCTTGTAATAGTAACATGTCCCAGAGTTTGTTGGTCGTCTTTAGTCAGTGTGAAGGTGAACACTGTCGGCTGGTGCATGCCATGTATTCTCACAGTGACACTGCTGACATGCTGATGGTTCACACTTGCTGTACTGCATGTGCCATGTCCCACTTACCAGTCCATTTATAAACAAAACAACAACAACCAGTAGTTTTCCACAAGTCCTAATACAAACCCCCGACAGAGGACAAACATCACTATAATATTCTTTTTCTCAACAATATTTTACTTAACTATGTAAATAACTTGCCTTGTTATTAATTGTGATGCTTGCTAATGTATTTATATATTCAAACCTGGAATGCTAATGCTTTGGTGATACTATATATGTAAACAGCCATGTCATTAAAGCTTAGTGAATTGAAATGAAGCGAGCAGCCTGAGCTCAGAGCTTCAGTGCACAATAGCCCACGTCACACAACCTGCAATCAGAAGCACTTTGTATCTGATGTATGTTGGCTACAGGTTCCAGTGTGAAGCTGCCCTGCAGATACTTTGTTTATTTCCTCCCAAACCTGAAACACAGTGACGACTGATCCCCTTTAGCACTCACTGTAAAGATTCAGGTGCTTCAGACCTTTATAAATACTCAAAGCTCGGTGGCAGAGTTTGGGCTGGTTTGACAGTGCTAATGTCATCTGTGTCTGGTGGTGGAGATTTCCCAGCTACTGTTTTGAACTAACTGAAGCACTTCTTTAGCCGAGCATCAACTAACAAAAACACACTATACACACAGACAGGGTGCCCTCTCTGTCAGTCCCAGCCGACCAAGTGTGTGTCCCCATGTGGCTAAACCTATTTTAAAAAACATAAAAGATGGAAACACAGAGAGAGAGAGAGAGAGAGAGAGAGGATGTATAATGCAAGGGACAGCAAGCTAATGGTTTCACTGCTGAATAATTACAGTGCAACTGTGCATTGCTGATGGATGCTCACATGACACACACACACACACACACACACACACACACACACTTTAGCAAATACAAACATTTGCACACAAACACAGGCACTTGCAATTACAATAAGACAGGACGTAAATGAGCTTTCACACACATATATAGATGCAGGCACAAACATCTCAATAAAAGGGAAGCTTAAATGAGATTCGTCTCTATCTCTCCCTCACACACACACACACACACACACACCAACTTCCTGTTGGTGAGTGAAGTGTCAGGTTAAGGAGAATGAATGGCCTCGCTCTGAAAACACAAATTGCAAAGTAAACAGATTAGAGTGAAAACAGACTCCTCTACTCCTCCACCCCCTCGAGCCACTCCATCTCTCCATCATCCATCCTCCCAGTCTCCCTCTGCTTCTCTCCTGCTCCTCTCCACTGTTCCTCTCACTGTCTTAGTCTGTTTCTCTCCTTTTCCTGATCCGCCCTCCTCGTTTCTCTCTCTACAGTCAAGCAGTATTAGTAACAGCAAGATTTCAGATGACAATCAATTTATTTCAGTAGAATCAGTGCATTCACTTGCAGAGTTTAGGAAATAGTGCAGAGTAAGTGAATTCTCACAGAGCTTTCATATAGAGTTTAACTTTGGGGAACTTTGACAAGCTAATTTGCGCTGTTGATCAACAGGAAAGTGACTGTGCTAGAATACAAATTGCTCCATGAAACAGGCGCAGCATGGTCTACATTCACTTGTCTCTTCAAGGAAAAGTTAACTTCCTGGATAGTAACTTACAAATGGTGCCACTTTCTGGAGTCAGTTAAACAGGTGAACCGAGTAGGTGCTCAGACCTAAGCTGTGGTGTGGACTCTAGTGCAGCTGGCTGTCAGAATCTGCAGTTTGATGAGTCTAAATTTTTTGTTCTGTTGATGATTTGTAATATATGCGGTTGTGACTGACTGGTGCTGGCATCTGACCAGCTAGCTGCAATAGCGTGTGTCCAGTTAGTCAGTCAATTTCTCCTTAGCTGTGTCCAGCATCACTCCCTATTTACTATACGGTGCACTACTGTATATTTACTGTCCACCATTTTATTTGACTAGCCAGGTTTTCAATGTAAAATGTATTATCTGTATAGTGCCCTCACAAAACCTACAATGAAATGAATAAAAAAACTAGTATGCATGACACGTGAATTACTGCTGAGTGTTTGTTGTTGTAAATAAGTTGTCAAAGCCAGACCCAAATGCATCATGTAATATTGGTTTTAAGCCAAATGTAGGTAAATACAGGCATCTCTGTATGTTCACAGGTGAATTTCAGCAAACCGCTCCAGCACATATACAGTAGGCTTGGTGTGAAAAGACAGCAGAGAGGAGAAAACAGCCACAGGCTCGACGCTCTGCTCATATATTTAGTAAACACTGACACATTAGTTTAAACTGAGAGGACACTAGGGACTCTGAATTTCTCTCTCTGTCATTCTCTTTTTCAGTCTGTCTATATCTCTTGCTCTCCCTCTTTGACTGTCACTCTCGCTGTCTCTCTCTCTTCCTTCCACACTTCCTCGCTCCGTTTTTGGCTAGTCATCAAATCTGGCAACATGCTCCGACACTGGAAACACACACAGTCTTTTCTACACAAATGCTAGTGAACACACAAGCATGGACAGATTGCAATCAATATGCAATTTCCCCTCTGTGTATAAAAGATGGACCTACTTGGAGGCCATCCCGTGGCTTTTGAGTAACGACACGTCTACATGAAGTGCTGCTATAATTCTCATAACTGCACCTCTTGGCCCTTAAATTGAGATAAAAAGGATTTCATCTTGTGGGCAGATGCAGACACAGACGGCCGAGGGAACAAGTGCTGATTTATCCCTGGCTTCCTGTTTCATCTCTTCTCCTTCTACAGCAAAAACATGAAAGGAGAGAAAGGGGTTCTGCGATGGAGTGCTTTAACAAAAAGACAGCCGCGGCCCCTGATGCTCCGGAGACACCGGAGCTCCTTTCTGCACCAAAACCCTCTTCTGTTTTCCTGTTCTCATCTCCTATTGGGTTTTTGAAGTGAAGACTTCTGGGTTCTACGACACAGAGGAAACCCAGCCTCACTCCTTTTTTCTCATTAGTCTCAAATCTGAATTCTTCTCATCCACTGGAAGGAAAAGAGCTGCACTGCTACTGTCTGAACGCAAATGGATTGTAAAGATTTAAAGTAAACTTTTATTTGTTTATTTATTTCATTTTATAATCACTGCAAGCTTGAATGTGAACAGGGTTTACAAGCTATGGTCATTTAGAGAAATTCAAATATTCCACATTTTTTCCGTTGGTTTATGATCATTTATTTGATCATTGTCTTCTATAATAAACAGACCAACTGTCAACATGTGGCCGTGGTTATACAGCTGGATTTGATCATTTAATCTGACAGATCATTCAATCAGTCAATCAATCATAAACTTCATTGTTCATATGTTAAAATACAAGGAATCTGACTCCAGTTCAGTGGCCCCCAATGTCCATCACACAGAACAGAAAAAAATAAAAATTAAAAGCAGAATAACAAGTAAAAAACAAGAAGACAAACAGTCATCTTTTGTTGGCCTTATGAGCTGCAAGCATACCCAGCAACTGATGAGATGTTTTTGATTAGCTAATCAATGCCTTTTTATAACAATGTGAAAGTATCACCTGAAGGTTGATCCAGTTCATGGCACATCTCCTGTCTAGTTCAGCCTCTGTTTCCAGCAGCAGTTGTTTGCATCAGACAGGCTCTGCCCTCTCCCTGCACTAAATGGCAGAACAATAGAGACCGACTGAAGTAAATGGAACAGCCAAAGACCCTGTTATGTTTCTCAGGAGTCAGTAGAGACCAAAACAGAGCTAAAAGGAGAGTGAATACTAGATTTACACTGACCTCAGGTGTTTGTGCTTTCCAAAATGCATTGGTCCAAAATGACTCTAAAACGGCCTGGTATTCTTGATTCCTCACTACTTGCATCTTTTCCTCCAACCTTACATGGGTGGGACTAAGGCACAAGGAAAAGATGAAGTGAGGTATAATGTGTTTGTCTGGACCCAAAAGCTGAAAGCACATTGAGAGACCTTGTAGCTAAACTGAATACATTTGCAAAGTACAGGCTGTGATTCAAAAGCTTCTTGGCGGTTCTGCACCAGACAAAGTCCTTGTGTGTGTAACATACATGGCCAATCTAAAGGTGATTTAAAAAAAATTAAAATGATTAACAAAAGCTGTAAAAGTGGAAGAAAGTGAACAAAGCAACCAAATCAGTTTTTAACTGGTTTAGAGGTCTCAGTGCAAGAACAGCAGAGATGATTTGACAACTAGAGACAGGAGAAGCTGTGTCTTAAATACAGGAGATGAGTAACAGGTAGGACACAACGGTGACAGTGGACAAAATAACAGTGTGGGTTGAAACACATGACATGAGGGAAACCTGGATGTGATCAAGTAAACATGTACCCTACATCCTGTGGAGGTTCTTTCTAGAGATTTTTCTATTGTGGTGTTGTGATTCCTTTAGACTTTCGATACTTATACTAATCACATAATTCATTTAGCAAGTACTAATCATCCTCTAACCTCTGGGAAATCCTCTCAGTGCTGCAGAAGGTGCAGAGAGGGTTTGGATGTAAACCTAACGTGAAGTCAACTCTCTCAGCAGCAGAATCCAAACCAGTTGAAACCTTTTCATGAGACAATTGAAACAACAGCAAAGCTCACTCATTTGCGCGTCGCTCCACAGGCAACATTTCAATTAAACTGAACAGTCCCACCACAGCAGCCCTGTGCTCTCTGGTGTTGCTCGTCTCCGTGACTTACAGACGTCCCACTTCATGGGATGAGCCTCTGGGGCTGAGCTTTAGGAGCCCAAAGTCCAGTAAGTTATATAATGGACCTGGCTGCAGGGAATGGTCCATTCTCATCTCCCAGGCAACAGGTGAATTTCAACAATGCACATTTGAGAGGCTCACAGATTTTCTGGAATACAATGCCCCCTCCTGCTGCCAAGTGTTTATGGTAATGCTCTATTCAGTGGAAGAATGGTGGATTAGTGCAACGATGGAGCTGGATGAGCTCCACATTCGTGCTGCTGGGCCCCGGGCAGCCGCTGTGGAATGATTGCCTGGGGCCGAAACAGGGCATGGTGGGAGGGGCTGGGTCCTGTGGTGGTTCGAGCTATTTTGTCTTTTCAGTAAATGTGTGCTTACTGTGTAGAAGACAAACACATTTTCTCAGGACTCTGTTGCTTGACATCCAAAGTTTCTCCTTCAGTGCTTCTCTCTGTGTTTTCAGTCATATGTTCTGTGGTGATTTGATACATAAAACAAATTATCAGCAGAGGCTTTGCCAGTTTTGGTGCTAAGGTTAACAGGTCCCCCTCCTCACTGGTTGATGACCCATATAGACAGCAAGGAAAGAAAGGACTAGTAATATATATGTCATGATAGACCCAAATAATACTTTTATTACAGTACAGTACTATAAGGAGATTGTTTTAAATATGTGTTACTGTTATAGGCGAAAGGCCAAGGTTTTGTGATGGTGCAGTGATGCACTAAATGGAGTGGTTTGTTAATGATAGGAAGTAAAGGTGACCTGCACATGATAATGGTGACAGATACGGAGTTACAGTGACTTCTTTCACCTAAAGTCTTTTATTTTTGGTTTGGAACAATGAAAAACATTATACAAATATACATACAGTGCACACCCCTCTGTCACAGAATATGGCTAGATACTATTTGCCAAAGTTTAACTGTAATACCTTCCTAAAAGTTATAATGTGCAGTCTGATTCAACTTTGTGGTCATTTCTGGGGCTGTGTTGTGTGCTGCTGCCTATTCCATGTGGTTCTCAGAGGTGTTTCTGATATATAGTCCAGCCTTTCTGGAGCTCTATGCACAAGTCAAGGTTTCCACAAGCTAGTAGAATAATTCATTGCTGGGTTTTTTTAGCTTTTTAATATAATTTTAAATATCACAAACCTTCAATTTCATTTAGTCCACAGTCAGATTACCTTGTGCATGTAAATGCTGCCGGTATCAGCTTCTCATTTCTGGTCAGCAAACAAAGTGAAACCACTCTGTCACGACTTGCTGTTCACTTAGTGATAACTCTGCGAGCCTTTTACCTCAGGGCCATAAAAAGAGCAGTAATAACTTTTTTCGAGGTAAACAGTCATATATTTTTCAGTGTGGAAATGTTTGAACAGCCTTGTCTTGGCCTGAACTCCCCTTGAACCTCCCAGGTTATAGATATTTAATGCTGTGGTCCTGCCAGACCATCCTGTTTCACAGGTACAGTAGACAACAGGATGCTCGCTCAGGGCAATGGACGTGTCGAGGAGCTGTAATCCAAACACTCTCTGCTGCAGGAATCAAAGGAAACCTGAGGGGAAGACAAGACAAGGTGAAGGACACTGCAGGAGCAGATCTACCTCACCACAGAAACAGAAAAAAGAGAAACTGCTGTTCTTTGAAAGCGGTGAGTGCTGTCAAAACAGAAACTAGTCAAACAGCTGCTTTGTCAACAGCCATTGTAGAGTGGAGCATCTGTCTGGCGAAACATCAGTCTGAGCAGCGACGTTAATCTCCGGCATGACATACGCGTCGGGTCGGTACCTGCATGCAGCTCTGAGGCTCTTTCCTTTCTTCACTCTGGTCCTCTTCATGCTCCTCCCTCACTTTCAGACAGATGTTTGCTATTCTTTGTCAACACAAGAGAGAAAACCTTGAGTTTTCTTTTTCTAATCGGGTCAAGGGGGAGCATGTTTTACAGCAGTGCATGATGGGCCTCAGTGAAAAAAGTACAGAAGCACAGTTGAGCTCTGTGCTGTTCTGATGCTCTGCAGCCAGAAAACAGTTCCGAATATTCAGCTTATCATTCTCTCTGAATGATATGTATTGTAGCGTTGGGGGCAGAGAGATTATTGGTGGGATCCCCCATAATGCCCCTCATGGCGGGGTGTATTTAGTTTGGAGTTGGTGGGGATTGTTTGGTGTTCAGTGTGTTCTGTGTGGTTGCAGAAGTGAGAGTGGAGGAATAAACAGGAAAAAAGGCAACTTCTGACAGAAGCCGGAGGCGGTGCAACCTGAAGCAGAAGCCCCCGCAGCTGCTGGAGAATTGCCTGCCACGCTGCTCTCAGCAGGAGCCCACAAAAATGAGACCACAAATGGAGCCAATGTTCTCTGCCAAGCAAGCCAGAGGAAGTGCATTCAGTCATCACAGGGGGACCTGGAGCCAGCGCCAGCCGACCAGCCATCCGTTCCAGAACCACGAGCAGGTCAGTCCGAGCTAAGGGTAGTGGGACCAACCCCCACCTCAATGTCAACCTGACCAGAAGGCTGCGTGGTGAGCATCACTATGCGGTGTGCCATCTTCTGCCCACTCCCTGGGGTGAAGATGCCGATGTTCTCTGGTAGAGGAAGCTGGGAAGCCCATCTCGCCCACTTCGAATTGTTAGCTGCTGTTGCTCATTGGTTGGAGGAGGCGAAGGAGCTACAGCTGGCTTTGTTGCTGACAGAGGATGCCCAGTCATGCCTGCTGTTGCTGAGCCTGGATGAACGGGGCAACTACGGAGCCCTTGTGAATGCACTTCAGAGACACTTCAGCGAACTCGACCTACAAGATGCCCTGTGCAGTGAGTTTAAACACTGCACCCGACTGCTGGGAGAATCCATCTGTGTTTTGGCTTACGACATCAAGAGCCTGGACCAGCGTACCCATGGCTTCATGCCCCCTGCCCTCCATGGTGAGATGGTGGGAGATCAGTTTGTCCAGGTGCTCACCCCTGACAAGCTCAGAGTGGACATGCACCTGGCCCACCCCAGAACCTTGGGTGAAGCACTGGAGCTTGTGGTGGACAGCAGCCAGCACCTCCAGACCACTCATTTACCCTTGACCTCTCACAGCGGTAGGTGGGCCAGACACACACACCTGGACTGAGAACTCAGTGGCACATGGTGCTGCACCCTGGTGGGCATGGTTACACCCAGGGACATTGTTGGGCAGAGACCACAGGGTTGGAGAGCTACCCAGCTCTGTTTCACCCCAGTGACTGGCAAGAGCACAAAGAAGAGTAAGAGGACGCTCAAAGTGACTGTTGCTGAAAAAAGAGGCAACTTCTGTCTCCAGCTCCTTCCTCACTCTAGCCTACATTACAGTATATTAAACATATCTTAGACACTGTATTCATAATGAAACAAAAGTAGTCACCAATACATTTGCTTTGCTTGAACTCTGGCATACAAATGTACACACCTAACTAGCTGCTAATCATCTGAACAGTACTGAGCTTTGAGGGAACAAAGTTTCAAAAATACTTATATATTATAAATTATATTAGCCATGTTGTGCCAGATTTACATAACCCTCCTCTGTGGAACGTGTGCATAGAGATTAATGTGTGCCAGACACATTAAATCTGCAACAAACCCTACTAGTCATCTACAGCAGCCACTAAGTCACAAAGCTTCCACAACCACCTACTGTATTTCACCTGTATGTGAATTTCACCCAGTCACTTTTTTGTGTAACTGAGCACTAACCATGTTCACCACAGAAGGGAGCTGCTGTAGTGAAGGTAGCAAAACTGTTTCTTACACACCCCCAGTTCAATTTCTGAAAATACTCCCCTGGTTAGTTATTTGTTCTTGGTAGAAACTATATTTTCCAAGTTGTCATCTGGACAAAGATGAAATATTACAAGAAGTGCGAGTGTGGAACAAGGAAAAGCAAAGCTGCTGAAAGTCATCGAACTGAATTCTGACCAAGGAGGAAAAAAACTCCTGCAGGTAACAACTTTTTGTTGTTGTACCATATTTCATCTTTGTGAA